TTGCTGCAATCGATGAGAATTTTTTCTTTTTTATGGCAGCATAATATTCCATTGTGTAAATGCATCATAGTTTTTGGATCCAATCATCTGCTGATGGGCACCTAGGCTGTTTCCAAATCCTAGCTATTGTAAATTGTGCTGCTATGAACATAGGGGTGCATATATCCTTTCTGATTGATGTTTCTAGCTTCTTGGGATATATTCCTAGGAGTGGGATTACTGGGTCAAATGGGAGTTCCATTTTCAGTTTTTTGAGGAAGCTCCAAACTGTTCTCCACAGTGGTTGCACCAGTCTACATTCCCACCAGCAGTGCACGAGGTTTCCTTTTTCTCCGCAACCTCGCCAACACTTGTCGTTTGTTGATTTGTTGATGTTGGCCATTCTGACAGGTGTGAGATGGTACCGCATTGTTGTTTTGATTTGCATCTCTCCAATAAAATATATTTAAAAAATCAAAAATAAAAATAAAATAAATTACGGTAAGAACATAATGTATTCTACAGCTATAGTAAAAGAAAATAGGATGGAATGCTACTGAGCAACAAAAAGGAATAATTAATACATATAACTTGAATGAATGTCAAGAAAATTACACCAAGTGAATAAAGCCAAAAAGCTATTTCCAAAAGGTTACATACTATATGATTTCATTTATGTAACAGTCTTTAAATTATAAAATTATGAGAAATGGAGAACATACTACTGTAAGTCAGAGATGGGGGTGAAAGGTGGGGGGAAGATAGGGATAGACACACAAACCTACACGTGTAATGAAACTGTAGTGAAACACAAACATACACACCATAAATATATATATATGTATGTATGTATGTATATATATGTATATATATATATATATTCCATGCCATAAAAGAATAGAAATACGGATGAAGCAATTGTTGTAGAAAGGAAAAGAGGAGGAGGGAAGAAATGAGAATGGTAATGTTATATACATTATCTGAATGACCTTTAAGACCAAAAAACAAACAAAAAAAACTAACAAAAAACTGTGACAACCTGTTGCTTTTTACAGTCCTAGTAGTAAGCCAGGCAGTAGACACCTATTATTACCAAAATACCTGCAAATCTGCATGGTTAGAAAAATATAATACTTAACAAAAAGCTGAGTGGCCTCCAAAGCAAGTTAAGCTAGGTTGAACTTTTTAGACAATCCAATTCAGAGTTCCAGATGTTTGGTCTCCAGATGAGATGGCACTTATTTTGGTTTGCCCAATCAACATTTAGAATTCTTTCACTAGGAAAATAAATCCATCTAGAAAATTTAAGATTTTATCTTTGTTAATGTACTTCTGACTTACTGATATCTGACTTAAGTTAAAACTTCTAGAAAATTATGTGAATCAAATAAGCATCAACGAACTATTGTATATTATAGATAGCTTTTGATCTTTGTATTCAGTCACAGCATATTTTAACCATGTCAACTTAACCCTAAATAAATGATTCCCAAAAGAAAAGTCTCTGCATCCCAGCTACCATGTTACTTGCACAGGGAGTTTGAAGTGAGACGATTTACATTTAGTTTAAAAGATCTGAAACATTAAAGATATCAGGAGCTTGCCTCCAAATCAGCCTATTTTGTCTTAAGACACAAACCCCACAAAATTTTAAATAAATTTAAGAGGATTAAAATACAAATTTTAAAAACGGTATCAGTTTTCTCAGGTAAGAAAAACAAGGCTAATAAAAAAAAACAAAAAAAAAAAACAGTAAAATGCTAGCAAACAAATAAATCCCACGTTTGGTCCTCTATATTTCAAGGACATCTCTTAATAAATTAAAAATACTTGTGCTGGCTAATCCTCCATGTCCAGGTGGCAGCCCGGCTGGGTCCATCCCCCCTCCCAACTCCTTCAATTCTGATTTCTCTACCTCCGTAATGAGTCCCGTTCATTACTGGGAAATAAACTTCACTTTAAAACTCAAAAAAAAAAAAAAAAAATAAAATAAATAAATAAATAAATAAATAAATAAATATACTTGTGCTATCAAGGGATTTTCTACCTACACCAAATTTCTCCAAAATATTTTTGGACTTGTTATTCTATTCTGCTTTTAGCGGATTTCTTAACAGTCTCATATAGTCAAGAATTTCTTAAGTCTCATATGGGACTAGACACATTAAATATTAAGTGACAGTCTCTGTTTCATTCCTTTCGGTGCCTAATATTTCTTCATTAATCTTTCAGTGAAATTTTTTGCTATACTAGTATCTTAAAGTAGGCAACACTCTATGTTCATTCCCTAAGGCTATTTTACTTATTTGTTTGTTTTTTAATATATTTTGATTGCTTTCAGAGAAGAAGTGAGTGGGAGGAACATCAATGATGAGAATCATCGATCTGTTACCTCTTACATGCCCCACACTGGGGCTAGAGCTTGCAACCAGGGCCATGTGCCCTGACCAGGAATCAAACTGTGATTCCTGGTTCATAGATTGACGTTCAACCCCTGAAATACAGATGAAGCAATTGATAGAATTTTTGAGCCGCCTGCTGGGCCCTAAGGCCATTTAATCCATATCTTCCAAAAGTTGGCAGAGACTATTTCTGATTCTATTCACTCTTCCCCAGCCCCTCTTGACATAAGATCACAGACAGGAACCATTGCTACAAAGCAAAAACATGTTGAATTTAAAGTGCTTCATGAGTGAGTACCACTTCTGATTTCATTGGCATTCTGAACACTGCCAGTCAAAAAATTAAAAGGTTCCGACGACTGAAAGTAAAACATTCTCTGTAAGAACGTATATGCCTGTTTTCTTCTGAACCAGAGAACACATTTTGTGGTCTTTTTACAAACAATTCTACTGGTTACCTTGTGATGTACCTTCATGCAACACAATAAAAGCGGCTGAGAAAGATCAGTACATACAATGTGTTGTTGGGCCCGGACCAGTTTGGCTAAGTGGATAGAGCGTCGGCCTGGGGACTGAAAGGTCCCAGGTTCAATTCCGGTCAAGGGCATGTACCTTGGTTGTGGGCACGTCCCCAGTGGGGGGTGTGCAAGAGGCAGCTGATCGATGATTCTCTCTCATCGATGTTTCTGGCTCTCTGTCCCTCTCTCTTCCTCTCTGTAAAAAAATCAATAAAATATATTAAAAACAAACAAACAAAAAAAACACACAAATGTGTTGTTGGCCGAAGCAACCTAAGTAGCTTGTTAAACATTACCAATAGTGGGAGGCTCTTTTTTGTTTTTGTCACTTTTTTTTTTTGGGGGGGGGGGAGAGAGGCTATTTAGTGTAGCAAATTGTACATTCAATATTGACTTGTTAATGAACTTAACGCCTTTTACATGTAAACATTCAGAATTTCAGGGAGGATAAAAGTACAGAAAGTTGTCAGGGAGTTCCCACTGAATTAATCTCCAGTACTTTAATTTCAAGTTCTTGAATCCAAAGTGATACTATTCAAATGCTAATAAATATTATCTCTATACAGACAGTATTTAATGTAGGTCATTAAAACGAAGAGGTTTTTGTCTGTAGTCCAAAAGTGAACATTTAAAAATATTCAAGCCCTTTTGTGAACCCGTTTATGACTTGCTGAGTTGGATTACAAAGCAGGAATGATGTTTGAGGAAGACGCTCTTCTGTGCCTCCTCTCATCTAGAAAATGACATCTTTTTCTTTGCAGAATGAAAAGGGAAAAAGATCTTCTTCCTGTTTTTATATGGGAATGGCATTTGGTTGTTGGGTGTGCGTGTTCTAGGTTCCTCCTGGTACTATCCACAAGAGAGTCTTTGCCGAAGGCCCCGCTTCCTAATCACGAGCAATCTGGCAGGAACCTGAAAACCTGACAGGCTTCAAGGCTGCCTGCCAGAAGGCTCTGCAGCTCCACACTCCTTCCCTGCAACTCTGATGAAAAAATCAACAATTCAAGTTCAGCAGTTAAGGCAATATGCTCCTGAGTTCATGGAGTACATCAGTGCTGGCCACCAGGTGTCAAAGTCAGGGCAAGGAGAATAAAAATATAACAGCATCAAGGGAGAGTAAAAGGAGGGAGGACAGGAAATAGGGACGGATAAAGAGAGGATCAGAAACTAAAATAATAAAACATCATGTGACAGGACAGATGTACTCCAGGGAACAAGTGAATATTTAAAACCAGCAATAAAACAAAGGTGAGTGTTTTGAAAATCACTGAGCCTTGTATTCCAGCATGCACCATGAAATCACTGAGCTATTTAATATTCAATGGGGATGAGGTTTGGGGATGTTTGGCTAACATGTAATTGGAACACACCATATTAAAAAAGCAATAAACATAAAATTAAGAAAACAAGAGAAAGGGGCACATGCTGTACAGCCCATGAATCTCATTGGCTTTATCATGAAAGTTTATTGTTTTTAATCCTAGAACAATCAGCTACCAGTTACATACAGTAAAAAATAAAAACAGCCACAAAGCAACGATGATAGATAGTCCGTGACATTGTACAGTGGAGAAAATATTTTCTGTCGGAATCCTCCAGCAGATCCCCACCTGCTTCCAGCAGTTAAGCTATCACTCCCACCCTCCCCAATAGTTTTTAAAAATTAACATCTTGCTTAGGTACAGCAAGATCCTAATACCTCTTGGGGACACTGAAGAACTTTAAAAAACTAAGGTGGTAGAAATAAAACAAAAATTGAACCGTGGAAGCAAGGTGACACGCAACGAAGCTCCAGGAAGCCTTGGCTTCAGATCACCTCAAAGCGAACCATCTGGAAGGAAAAGACAAGACTGTCAGCCAGGGAAATTCAGTACTTTAGCATTTCAGTGCTCCACTCCTTCACAAATCTACAGAAGGCATACTTCCTTTTAGAAGAGTGTTTTATAAATGTAGCTGGGATATACTTACTCAATACAGAAGCATTTTTAACAAAGCATGCCGTCTACTTTATCTCAAACCCTTTATCAATCACACAGCAGGACTTGTATGACTATGTATCCTTACCTTAAAGGAACAATGACTTCGTTCGAAAAACAAAGTCTCATATATATTTGGTTCGATTGAGGGCTTTTTCAGCCAGGTGACCACTTTCATCTGTGATCTTCTCCCAATCAGTCTGTCCGACCACAAAACCTATGGCCCTTTTCCTATCTGCGTCCTTCTTTTCCTCCAGGTCTGCCCATCTCACCTGGAAAGAACATAGCATTAGGCTGGGCTTTAGGAAAAATAAATATGCAAAAGGCCTTCCCACTCTCTGAATATTTTAAGATAGAGGACAACTAACATGAAGCCAGATTAAAAATTAGAAATTAACTAGATGAATTGGAGAAAGGCAAATTCTTAAGTAACGGAAAGAGCTCTCTAGTTAATTACCAAGTCCTAACCATTGCAGCTCCCAAACAGTTCAGCTTTTAGCTCAGGCCTGCTCCTTCCAACTCCTATAACTCATTTACTGACCTGTTTTTGTTTGTTTGTTTGTTTGTTTAACCTAAAGTAAGCACTAACCTGTATTCTCACTCCCTCAATCCATTCTGCTAGAGTGCTCTCCTTAAAAGACACAGTTGTGACTCTCATCTGCTTTGAATCCTTCCCCTACAGAATAAAATCCAAGCACACAGGTTCCTCTGAAGCTAGCTCTGTCTACTCTTCTGCGGCATCTCTGTGCAGTGCCTACAGAATAATGACTTTCAGCTAGAAATGGCTTCTTAAATGTCAGTGTCCCTCCTTGTTTTCCTAGAGGTACTGTTATTGAGATTTACAGTCTCAATTTTTTGGCCATTTATCTTAACTATTAACAGAAAAATGTTAACACTGAAAATGTGGAGGTACGTATATTTCATCCACTGTCACTAAAAATATTTCTAAAATGAGTGAATTCAGCAAATAAAGGGATATGTTCGCCTTCCACAGTCATCAAAGAAACAAACTGAAAGTCCACTTGAGCTATCATTTTATACTCAATTAAACAAGAGAAACTTAAAAAAAAAAAATAAATTACATTTTAAAACCTTACCATTTTGGTAAAATTCGAATGTGATCAATTCTACTAAATGATCTTTTCTTATAGTGGAAGTTAATCCCAGGAACCTGCCTGGAATTTGTAAAAAGCTGAGTTATAGAAATCAAGAGCACAGGAAAGGAATGAACAATGAAATCTGTATTCCTTGCTACCTGTCAGATCTCCTGGTGCTCTGATGTTGATTTTGATGAGTGGGTTGAGAGTTAAAATTATTAAAAAAAACAACAAAAAAAACCCCACACACACCATTTGAAATGAGGATGTGAGGCAGGGGTGGAGCCATTTTAAAGAAAAATAGAGGCTGAAACCAGTTTGTCTCAGTGGATAGAGTGTCGGCCAGCGGACTGAAGGGTCCCAGGTTCGATTCTGGTCAAGGGCATGTACCTTGGTTGTGGGCACATCCCCAGTGGGGGGTGTGCAAGAGGCAGCTGATCGATGATTCTCTCTCATCGATGTTTCTAACTCTCTATCCCTCTCTGTAAAAAAATCAATAAAATATATTTTTTTAAAAAGAAAAATAGAATAAAAACTTTTCATTTGAGATTATTTGTTACCATAACTATACCAAATTATCATTCCCAAGGAGAGTTATTTTTATTCTGTTGCCCCAACCTTAAAAGTGGAATAAGAGGTGTCAATATAAGTAGTTCCTCGGTGGAGTTGAGCCCATAAAGAAGGCCACTAATCAGATCTCCCTTCCCCAACTCCTCAAGCTACATAGACAAAGGGGGTCAGGGGTTAGGGACTGTAAAGTATGCGTAAGAGCTTTGAAACTTGGGAGTTCTCTGTAATGGCATCTACCATAATAAAGTTTTATTTTCTTACAATAAGTGTTCTTTCACTAGTAGTGTACTGAGGAAATTCATAAAAAAGCAATGATGTATAAAGAAATGATACACAACCTTATTCTTAAGAAAAAAAATGTAGCCGAAACCGGTTTGGCTCAGCGGTAGAGCGTCGGTCTGTGGACTGAAGGGTCCCAGGTTTGATTCCGGTCAGGGCATGTACGTTGGTTGCGAGCACATCCCCGGTACGGGGTGTGCAAGAGGCAGCTGGTCGATGTTTCTCTCTTATCAACGTTTCTAGCTCTCTCTCTCTCTCCCTTCCTCTCTGTAAAAAATTAATAAAATATATTTTTTTAAAAATGTAAAATGAGAAACCTTTATTTCACTTATTAGATTGTGAAAAGTTTGATAACAGCACTGTGGGGGCAATTATGGAAAAATATGCATTTACTGCTGAAACCGGTGTGATTCAGTGGAATGAGCGTCGGCCTGTGGACTCAAGCGTCCTGGATTCGATTCCAGTCAAGGGCATATACCTCGGTTGCAGGCACATCCCCAGTTAGGGGGTGTGCAGGAGGCAGCTGATTGACGTTCCTCTCTCATTGATGTTTCTAACTCTCTATCCCTCTCTTCCTCTCTGTAAAAAATCAATAAAATATATATTTAAAAATATCCTACAATTCTATCACCCAAATTTGGAAAAGAAAAAAAAAATGCACTTACTGACAAGAGGGTTTTAAATAGATGCAACCTTTCTGGAAAACAATCTCACAATATCTGTCAGATAACATATTCTATGAGCTTGCAACTTCAGTGCTAAAAATCTAGCGAAATACTATTAAAAGACGCCATGACTTTCATCATAGTATTTATATTAATAATAAAATGAAAACAGCCTAAGTATCTACCAACAAAGTACTGGAAAAATGACTGACTGTACAACCAAATATGGCACTCAAGGAAGCCATTTGAGTAGGTACTTATATAGAATGATGGACAGATTCACTGGAAAAGGCTTATGCAGAATATATATATATATATATATATATATATATATATATATATATATATATATGCCAAACAACACCAGAACTGGTCACTATGACTTGCACTGTGGCAGCCAACCAGCCCAATTGGGGTCCCAATCGAGCACCCTCCAATCACCTATGGCCCCTCCCCCAGCTGCCAACCTCTCACGTCTTCACCCCAGCCAGTCCAGTACCCACCCATACACAAATTTGTGCACCGGGCCTCTAGTATATAATATGATCTCTTTTGCTTTGTTATTTTGTTTTGAAGGATATAAACAAATGTTGTCACTTCTACTAAATTTGATATCTATGTGGAAGACCTATCCAACTTAATTTCTCTGCTCCCTTTTATAACAAACCTTCTTCAAAAAAGCTGTCTAGCCTGGCCGGGTCACAGTTCCATTCCCATTTAGAGCATCTGCCTGGGGTTGTGGGCTCCATCCCCGATGGGGACATGCAGGAGGAAGCTGAGCAATGATTCTCCCTCATCACTGATGTTTCTCTCTCTCTCTTTCTCTCTATCTCTCTCTCTCCCTTCCACCCTTCCTCCCTTCCTCCCTCTCTCTTCCTCTCTGAAATCAATAAAAATATATACATAAAAAAAATTTGTCTACATTTGCTGTCCGTACTTCATTTCCTATTCCTTCTTCAATCTGCTCCAAACTGGTTTCTGTCCTTCAACTTTCAAAGAAAATTTGACTGATTACTGATCAATCATAAGAGATCTCCATGCGCCAATTCAATAGCTACTTCTCTGTTCCCAATGTACCTGTCTTCTTTGTATCATTTAATGATGGACTGACTACTCTTTATTTCTTGAAACATTTACTTCTACCTGAAACTTCCAAATTTGAGCCCTGAGTCCTATTATCATTTCTAACTTAATTGGTCCCTCAATGAACTTACTTATAATTGTTGACTCAAACTTATGGCTCTTCCAGTTTTTCTCCAATTCAGTAAATGGGCACCACATACATGGAGTGCTTATGACCAGAACCAGAAGAGCCACCCTGATTCTATCCACTACTGGACTCTCTACAGCTAATCCATAAGAAGTCTATAAATTCTCTTTAACACTCTTCTCTGAACCTGGCTCTTTTGCTCCATGACAAAAATGGCACAAGAGGCCAGACCAAACTCCTTTAATGTTGATAACATGCTAGTCACTTCTGTTCTCCATTTTTAAGTTACTTGTACATTTTGAGCTGATAATTTGTAAAATCTGACTCATTTTTCTGACGTGTGATATGACATAGTATAAACTACATTGCTATAAAAAAAAAAAATAGCATTCAGCCCTGGACAGTTTGGCTCAGTGGACAGAACATCGGCCTGCGGACCCAAGGGTCCCAGGTTCGATTCCAGTCAAGGGCACATGCCTGGGTTTTGGACTTGGTCCAATGTGCAAAAAGCAGCCAATCAATGGTTCTCTCTCATCATTGATGTTTCTATCTTTTTCCTTTCTCTTCCTCTCTGAAATCAATAAAAATACATTAAAACAAAAAATATCATCCATGTGGTTACTTGTTTATGACTTTCAAAAACCAGATGCCCAAAAGGACCCTTCATCTGTTAGCAGTTAGTGACAAAGTCTCTTACCCTCTTCTTCCCAGGCTCAGAAGCACGAGTATCATAATCATCAGGGAGCTGAAGATAATCCTCCATTCTGCTGGCAATTGCTTCCCAGTCACGTTTCCTTTTAGTACCAGTTCTCAAGCCATCCAACTTGTCTGCGGGACAAACACAGAGCCGCAGCATTAAGAAAGAGTGAAAGTTGGCGCATGACACACAAACACAAGGGAAAAGAAGGCTGGAACACGGTCAGAGGGCACATCCACATTTCTGAGAGCAGCATTATTGAAGATCCAAACTATATTCTCAGCTAAGATAATATCAAGTTCTGTGCAATTTTATTATTTATTTGATGTGTATATTGGAGCCATTACATTTAAGTAACAAATATGGGCAGAGCAAGAAAGGCAGTTATCTCATGGCCTCTTTGTCCTCCATGCCGCCCTCCACCCCAACACAACACTTCAGTTCTAATGTTCTCAAGGAAAACGCAAAGTTGGATTAAAATGAATAACTTCTTTTCTTTAATACAATATTAATAGCACCCATTTGATCTGCAGTCATATTTGACACTGTGTCATATGAAAAGCAGTAACTAAAGCTTAATGAGCCACGCTAATGTTTTAAAAAGTTTTAGATGAACAGTTTCTTAGGATTTTGACCTCTGTGAGAAGATTCACTATGAATTGTTTTCGAGTAAATAGACTGCACAAATCACCACTTTCTTTGGTTACACCATTTAGTACTGTTGACCTTTTGAGCCTAAGAGCTAGTCAGCCAAATTGACCAGATCTGAATTTTCTTTCTCAATCCTCAATTTTTTTCAAGGCCCCAAAGTGTAATGAATTAAATGATAGGGATTGCTGATTCAGAAATTATGAGATACAAATGTAGGGGTCTTTAAGAAGAACACACGATGAAAATGTGTGGTCTTTTGTTTGTGTGTGTTATCTTTTTTTATTGGTTAATACCGATTCTGATTTCTACATGTGAAATATTATGAGTTATATATGTTAGTTACGTTGAAGCACTAAACTTTTGAATCATTTGTACAGTGTTTCCCCGAAAATAAGACATCCTCCAAAAATAAGACCTACTTACAGGTTTCCTTCTGAGTGAAATATAAGGCATGCTCCTGAAAATAAGGCCCCCCTAGACTAAACATGAGAGATTTGGTCCACTGATTCTAAAAGAAATGGAGTCATAAGAAATTCACCAGGAAATTCAGGAATTGGATTGTTATGATGATGTTCCAGAAGATGATGACATGATTGTCATTGAATAAATGAGTAAATTTATTAAACTGTAGGATTCAGTTTGTCTGGTTTGTGTTGACAACTACCGTACTACCGTACCATATACAGGTAATAAATTTCCTTTATTTTCATTTAACAATAAATGTGTACCGTATTCTTCTTCATGGAAAAATAAGACATCCCCTGAAAATAAGACCTAGCGCATCTTTGGGAGCAAAAATTAATATAAGACACTGTCTTATTTTCGGGGAAACAGGGTAGTTATATAAACACACTATTTCTAAGCAGGTCAATAAAGGAAAACTTAAATACTTCAGGACACTCCATATTTACACTTCATTAGACTCCATAAAGGGTGCAGAATGTATGTAATAATAGAAAGCTGTCAGGCGCCACGTTGGAGAGCACTCGATATGAAGAGTACAATGGAAGCAGTGGCAGAAGAGAGGGTGAGTTTATGCTTCAAATGTGAAAGTTTCACACACAACTAACTGACCCACACCACACAGGCTACAGAAACAAGTAAGATTTTGCATACTTGGCAAAGCTTTATTTCCTAATATCTCCCCCTTAAAAGTAATAGTATTTAAAAAACCAGCAAGGCAAACTACAACACTTTACAAAACTCAGGAAATTTTATCATATCACTTCGGAAATTTTTTTACATGGATGAGTTAAACAGAAAGTCTCTTAACCTCTGTAAATCACATGCTGTACCAAATGGCTCTATCTACATGTATATGACAGGCCATATTACACAGGACCTTAAATAAGTGCCCCTTTTATTGTACAGGGACATAGTATTAGAAAACCAATGAAGTCCCACAAACCATAAAAACTGTTCTCAGTTCAACAGTGTAGAATATAAACAGAAGAGTAGGAAGCTCTCATACACTTTTTATTAAATAACTTCAAACGATTTCCAAACTTGATAAGATCACCTATGTATGACATTAACGTACTTCAAAGGAAAGTTTCACATATCAATACCAAGAATAAACACGGCCAAGCAGCAATGCAGAAGCACAGTGTGAAAACTGCAAGAACGTTTTCTCTTCCACTGTGACAGGCGTTACAGACTAGGCCTTATCCATTTGCAACATGGAAGTTCAGAATATGTAATCTAGTCTGAACACCCTTGTTTGTCATGTTTAATTTGAAATCTGACCATGCACAACATGTTTAAAGTTTCTTTCTTGGGCTGAAGAAAAGTTCATATCTCTTCCACATGGCTTCCTGGAAACCCGAACACACATGTATGGCATAAGGTGAGGGAGAGGAATCTGTGGTATTAGTTACAGAAGACAACTGGTGACCAATACACTCATACGTATGATTTACAGAGATGTGAGTTTCAAAAGATGAAGTTTAATATGAAGATGAAAGTTTAAATATCCAACCTGACTGGTCCCAGAATCTTACCACATCTTCAAGACAGTATATATTATTGTAGAGCAACAAAATTTTTTTTTAGAAATGCTTATGTATTTTCCAAATAAATGATGCTTCCGGACACTTGTTTATAGTGAACCATACAAGGGTTATGTGCTTATACAAATCATAACTGCATTCCAATTGTGAAGAGATGAAACTGCCTGACACATAGAAGGCTAATACACAATAACTCATAAGCAGAGACAAATGACAGAGATGAGAAAAGCAAAAGGACTTGATATGCAGAAACCTAAATCATGTCATTGGAACTTAAGTAGCTTCCAGGCTAAATTCCAGCATCTGATGTGCATTAGGGTGTCTGGGTCTCAGATGCAAAGGAGTCAGGTGTGACTGAAGAGGGGACACAGTTGTCAACAACTTTATGATACTCAGGCCATATGTAATGCAGGCCAGTTCTGAATGTTCCCAAAATTACACCACTTCTAATCTGAAACACTCAAACAGAGGCTGAACTGCATACTGTACTTAATGAACACAGATCAAGAGTCTGCGATGAGATTTAACACACTCCTTGAAAGATTACAGATGAGTATTTTCTCATTGGCAGACTCATTTGTGAATCAAAATCCCTCACAAATTCAGCTCTTCCGGCTCAATGCGACGCTGCTAAAGCTTACTGTTTCCATCCAGCTTAATCAAGTTACCAAAAGTAACATAAGAATGTTGGAAAAGTACTAAAAAGAAAAGAATTGTACTGGTAATCAAGTTTACTGAATTTGTTATGGTAAGAAAGGCAACATAAATAGGCTAATTCTCAGACAAAGATTTCATATTTTAGAGAAGACTGTTCTTTTCAGTTGGTCCCATGGGCCAATCTCAAAGAAGCAAGCACTCTCAAGAATGCTCACACTCAATTTGTCTTCCTCCACAGGTAGATCATGTCTCAAGATAACAAAGAGGTGCAAGAAGCAAGTCATTACATGAAACATCAATGTCACTCTTTTTTTTTTTTTAAATATATTTTATTGATTTTATACAGAGAGGAAGGGAGAGAGATAGAGAGTTAGAAACATTGATGAGAGAGTGTCATCAATCAGCTGCCTCTTGCACACCCCCTACCGGGGATATGCCTCAACCAAGGTACATGCCCTTGACTGGAACCGAACCCGGGACCCGTCAGTCCCCAGGCAGACGCTCTATCCATTGAGCCAAACCGGTCTCGGCCAATGTCACTCTTATTAAAAGTAAATAAAAACCCAATTACAAACATGTTAGAATTTATTTTCTAGATCTTCAGTGGCTTTAATTGAAATGGTTTATTTAACAAATCCATTTCTGGAATTCACTATGTAACATTTTGTCTTTAAAATGGACTGAATTTGTATAAAATGTATTTTCTGAGAAGCAAATGGTAGACAAGCCAGAATTTTCCCCAGAAATCAATACCAATATTAATAGTATATTTTCTTTTTTAAAATAGATTTTTATTGATTTCAGAGAGGAAGGGAGAGATAGAGAATTAGAAACATCAATAATGACAGTGAATAATTGATCTGCTGCCTTCTGCATGCCCCCCAATGGGAACCAAGCTTGCAACCAGGGCATGTGCCCTCACCAGGAAACAAGATGGAATCAAACCATGACCTCCCAGTTCATAGGTTGATGCTCAACCACTGAGCCACACAAACTGGGCAACGGCATATTTTCTTGAATCATTACTACTAAATTCCATTTTCCTTTCTCTTTAAAAATTAGAAAGGAAAACAGAAAATGGATGAGCTCAAGTTTAAGGCCTCTGATTACATGCCTATTTGAAATATTTATCACTTTTACAATCCCTTTGTCTCTTTATGACTTTTCTTTGCCCTCAAATATAAACATTATTTTAGAGAATCAAAAAAGAGGGACATGATGTTTATAGTCTTACAGGCTATCCTAAAAATACAGAACTTCCAATATTCTTAATCTAATATCAAAATAAGAATATCTAAAGCATTATTATTATTAAAAATAAGTTGTGATTATTATTATTTTCCTACATATTTAATTGCATTTAAAACTTACAAATGCTTTAAGAGTTTAGAAAAGGAGATATAGTTATTGTTAAGATTTCCCACAGAGGGAAGACTAGTGAAAGAATAAGTCAGTAACCACTTACAATTTTCACATGACATATATTAGGAAAAATTCTAGACTTTATACAAAGTAACTATCCCAATAATACTGTAATACTACAGTTTATGGAATTATCTTCTGACATAGGATCTGGTCAACATCAATTGCAAATGTCATCAGTTGGGCAAAATAAAAGGTATAGCCTATGAGATTGTATGTAAAATGTACACCCTCTTATGTCAGAAACACAATGTACCCCAAACAGTGAAGCAGCTAAATGACTCAAATTTATCCTATGATTTTATGATCTTTAGATGGTTATTTTAGTTCTGCAATAATAGTATGATAACCAGGAAGAGAAACATGAAGACCGACAACCATACTTTATACATTGGGAAAAGGTCAATCTTCTCAAAAAGTCCTTATTACACTTTCTTATTTATTGTCATATCTTCATCTACATGTTAAATGATTCTCTTTAAGTAAGGTAAAAACAAAAACAAAGAACCCTGAAAAAATGTTTTGAAATAGTGGAGGAAAAATCCAGTGGATATGCATGATTTTCTATTGGCAGATAACTTCACACTAAGCAACTCCAATTTTTGATTTAGATAATCATTTTAATCAGTTAACCTTGTAATCTAGCACCACAGGCAAGATGAAGAAAAATGTAAGTGGAATCTTATAAGGCAGGCTCTTCAAAGACCTAAATTGTGCCTACTGCTCCCCACCTAGAAACTCCAATTTATTATACAAGGAAAATAACTGCCCTTTAATGAATCAATTTGTAAGCTTCACTATTTATTCTTACTATTATTACTATACAAAGTATTCACAATCTGATTCAACGTTGGACTGCAGTCAAATACTCTTTTAGAAAAGCAGAAATCTCATTGGCACTAACATTTCTGGTTAATCTTAAAGAATGAATTTCAAAACTGATAGTATTTTATTACTAAATTTATTACATATCTCCATTTACTCTAAAAACTTTAAGTTCTTCTTTCACTCTGTCACAAGATATAGCAAGTTAAACTAGTTATGAAAACTAGCAAAAACAGTCTGGGAATGCAGGTAGGCCAAAAGCTTGGTTTAAGCAGAACTTTTGGGGAATCTGTTCTTCTTATAGCAGAAAGATCTATGACCATTACCATCAGGTATCACATATAAAAACAGGAAAAAGGAAATACCCACCTAGCTTTGCCTCAGATGTGTCCATCTCCCATTTGCTTTTCGGAATGTAACCCTAAATTGTACACAGAGAGAAGCTCGAAGGGTTAGAAAGAGATACATACATGCATATCACTTTTGAACTGGAAAAGCATTAAAATTGGGAATGGATTCAGCTTCCACTCATTAGTTATAAATATATCTTTAGGGAAAACACAATCTCATTATCTTTGAAGAAACTGAATTTCCAAATTCATAAATCTGCAGTGCCCAGATTTCAGAGTAGTCACTTCAAAATAGTATCATGAAGGCGCTTAGAGGCAGCTACAGTTCAGGACAAACAACTGTAGTCTGAACAACAGCTGTATAGTAAATAAGGCGAGGAAATATGGTAGTCACTGTGCTAAAATTATATCATTCAGAGTAGCAGAAGATTTCTAATACTAGTTAGGTTATTTTCTCAATTCAACTGTTATTCTCAAGTGATAGTAGGCATGAGGTCCAGAGTGTTTTTCAAGATAGTTACTTTATAGTCCAGCATAATTTTAAATATTCAAGAGAAAAGAGAAAACTTGGTATCACTGAACACAACTATGAAGTTCAACTTCATTTTTAAATGACTCCATCCACTTAGCAGATCTTACAAAGGTTAATTTTACTGAATCAACTTCAAAGTATTTCTTTTTTGTAATCTGGAATTTGATGATTATTTCTGATGTCTTCTAAAATTACATTTTCCTATTACACGAAAAACCAGAAATTTTCACAGGCAATTTATGTCTTATTTAATAAATTATGGATATTTTATTTCAAACAAAGTCCCATAAGATTTTCAAATTTCCCAATGTACCTATTTATCTATGAAGTAATCCTTTCAGTTTATAACCTGGCAGGTAAATGTATGCTTTTTTTCATGTAATTTACCATGACTCCCCTTTTCCTTCATTTGGACTCTGTTCTCTGTTAGACCCTAACATACAGAACTTAAATACTAGGACTTATAATAATACAGAACAGATTCAATAAAGGTGTCAGCATCATCTTTTAAGAATCAATATATCTCTTGACTATTGGAAATGTTCAATTTCATAATATAGACTGACACACAGGTAAGTTGCAAAGTATGTTGCACATTTTATGACAGTAATATCTGTGTAAGAGTTTAATAGAGCATCAATCATTCTTCCAGGAAACCTATAGATCTTATACATTACTAGTCTTTAAACCAAATCAATAATTCAATTTCAACTCATTAGGCAGTATTTCAGGTTTATAAATTATACCATCTTTTTCAAATACATTTTAAGAACAAACCAAGACAAAACTATGCTGAAGGAATGGTGTTAGAAGTTAATTAAGTATTGATGAAATTTGTACAAATTATACCTCAAAAATCATCTGAAAACCTTAAGTATCATTACAATAATTATAAATTCTGAGTCACATCAACTAGATTCACTAAAGCACTAATGAAGGCAAAATATTAAACCAATGATCTTTCTTACCCGCCCCAAATTTCTCTTAACCAAGAAAAGTTTGGCTTTCACCCCGCTATAGTAATCAATAAATAGAGAGTACAAAACGCAAAATTTATTGAAAATTTCAGTAAAATGGTCTGAATGATATGAGATTTACTCTTAATCCTTTGGTTAAAATTCACCAAGAATCTTTTACTTTTGAAATAAAACCCAATAATAGAAAATCTAGACTCTGCCTTTTTGAATGGGTTAAGAGAAGTTTTATAACAAAGATAAGCAAAATAAGAATATTAGTATCTTTTACTCTTGGAATAAAACCCAACAGTAGAAGATCTGAAATCTGCATTTTTGAGTGGGCTGTTTTATAACAAAGATAAGCAAAACAAATATATTAATTTCTCCCTGCTGAAACCACACCCTGTTCTTAAAACATCTTCTCACTGCTTAAAATGTTAAGCCACTTGGAAATAAAAGAGGTAGTACAGCAGGGTAGAGTCCTAAGACTTCCTTGCCAGTTTTCTGATATAAAAATGTAGTATTACAATGTGTTTTATTTTTAAAAATCAGAAGTTCTGTTTTGACCTATACCTAAGCAAATCAGATGTTATGAACCAAGTCCTGAACTGAATCTCCACAAAAGAAAAATGGACCTTCAGAAAACTAACATTACAGACTTCTCACACAACCATTTGCTAGTACACACGCTGCAAGTAGCTAATGAGGTCAATAGCCGTATTCCAGAACAGCGTGGACTTTTAAGTGAGTTTCCTGCTTACATTTTAGCTCATAAATGCCAGAATACAACCTAATTAAGAAAAATACTTTATTTAACAAAAAGAAAAACTGAGACTCAAATGCCATTAACTTTAAAGCTTATTTTTTAATCCACATATAAAATCTAGGAATGTAGAGGCACCATCTTTATATAAACACACAGTTTCTATTCAGAGTCCCCATATCAGACATGGGTTTAATAGGACCACTCCTTAAAGAGCCTGTATTCTCTGGGAGGTAGGAATCATGATTCTTGCTTTGTATATTTTCAGAAGAATATGAGAAGCAGTTTTAGCAAGGGTTGAAATATTAAGTAAACCACATAATACCTTGAATTTAAAAAGCAACACTATTTCAAGGCATCACTAATCTCTGTACCTCATTTACCAAACACAGAAAAGTAACATAATTCTACAGGTCACATATCATGATGACAGAGTAAGGCAAACATCTCTAAGACGTATGATCAAAAACATTTACAGGAGATACACAGATACTTTGAATTCACGCTATGTAAGCCTTGAATCAGCCTAAGCAAAATGCATTGCCTACACAGTCAAATAATTTTCCCCATCACTTAACAGAATAAAATGCAGAAGGACAAATCCAGAAGTCTATGGCAACCCTCTGCCTCCTCCTTCACTAGTTTTCTGCCTCAGTTGACAGAAACTCAATTTTGAGATCTTACAGCAAAGAAGAGACCATTACGCATATGAGGTAGGCTGTACCAGATATCTGCTGAAGTGCAAGAATACCCTTTGATCTGTAATTGGTTTTCTTAAAACGTATACTCCCCTAAAGCCACCCACAAATAGATGAATGAATACAAGATAAGTTTCTTAGCATTTTTAAAATTTTCTTGTAATACATAGTAGAGGGTTCTTTTGATCAGGAGAAAAATAAAAAATATCCAGAAGTCTCCTTGAAGATGATTATGGAAACTTCTACCACTAAGGTGCACATCAACAGTAATAATCTGACCATCAACCTGAATTTAAACACCTAAGAATTTTAATAAAAAGACACTTTGTTCAAAGTGGTTGGTCTGTCTCCTACCAGTTCGTTTTCCTCTTCCTCTGCATCTTTCTTTTCTTCCTTCTGTTCTTCGATATTTGCATCAAAATCTTCCATCTCTACCTACACCACCCCAATAATCATAATAAAAAGAAGATTGAGTTAACATTTAAGAAAACGTTGATTCCCTCATTGAGTTCTGAAATGAATATAGTTGCCCAGAGAGAGACAGCACAGAATCGCTGTTATTTACTAATTAATTTTTAATACCCTAAACTTTAAAATACACTGATAAAAGGCAATAATATTCCTGCTTTTCTTTTTTCTGGGATATTTATCTTTACAATTTCCTATGAAGTTGAATATAATGATCTGTCCTACGTTGATAATTATCTCTTTTGAATGCCTATGAATTATAAGATTTCCTTCAAGAACCTTTAGCAAACATTTTTCTAACCAAGTAAAACATGTATATGATCCAAACTTTAAAATGCAAGGAAGGTAATAGTGAACAGTAAAATGACAGTAGCTTGGTCTGGAATGGTAGCAACGCAAAGAGAGAGGAGATGGATTAGAGAGGTATTTATAGGGTGAAATCTGAATATGAACTGTATATGAGGTGTTTTAGACTTCTAGTTTTTTAAGAAAATGCCCTTGTTCTTAGGATACCTATTGAAATATTGAGGGGTGAAGGGTTATGAGATCTGCAACTTCACTCTCAAATGGTTCCACAATAATAGTGATAACAATCCTATGTAATAATCCTATATAATAAAAGGTTAATATGCAAATAGATTGAACAGGGGAATAATTGAACCAGTCACTGACATGTGCTGGCCACCAGGGAGCACATGCAGAACATGGCGGGCATTGGCCACAGCAGGATGGTGGAGCAAGTAGGGGGGGGGGGCACCAGACCAAGGTAGGGCGCTGGTAGCTGTCATTGGAGTGAGCCTCTGGTGGTTACTGAAAATTCTTTGCTCCCTTGTGCCGCGGTCTCCCTGGAGCTCGCATCTGCTGCTGGTGCTGGCCCCTGGTGCTGGCCCTTGGCGCTGGCACCGATCACCTAGCGCGAACAGTGGATGCCAGCTCTGATTACTGCCCCTCAGGGCTTTGCCACTTCCCCCTGTTCCTGAGGGGTGATCAGGGCCGGCAGCTGCCTCTGGCACCTGCTGCTGACAATGGCCCCAATCGCTCCGCACCGTCAATGGGTACAAGTCTGGCTGGCACCAGCAGTGTGAGGGAGCGGCAGCAGTGGGAGTGGAGCTGCTGGCAGACAGGGGACCAGGGCCACGGTGGGAGGGGCCAGGTTGGGGTGCGGAGGATGGACTGAGACCTGCCCCTGTGCCCATCACAGCCTTGCAGCCCACAGTTCCTTTCAAGGTGCACAAAATTCGGGCTCCCTAGTAGTAATAATAATGAGGAAGGCAGGGAGAATATTATCTATATAGAGAAAAATGTGGCAAAATATTAATAACTGATGGATCTCAATCATAGTTGTATAGGTGTTCTTATATTATTTGTGCAACTTTTCTGTAGTTTAAAATTTTTTTCAAAGTAAAAGGGTAAAGAAGGGGTCATTTTGCACTGCCTTTTAGGCAAAAGATCCTCACCTCTTCAATAGCAGCATCTTGCAACAAAGAACGAATGTCCAGACGCATCATATGACGAGGTGCAGTTTCCCAGTGATCAGCCATCTATTGAGAGATTCAGAGGGTCAAGCTACTTCTGTAAACTATTCAAAGAAAGACCAAGAGAACATCCAAAACAAATTAACTAATGTGTGAAGTCTAACAGGCTAGCTCCAGGCAGAGGTAGGCAATCTTTTTCACTTAGATACAAAGGATAAGAAACATTTACTAAAGCAGATAGAAAAGATATTTTGAAAGGCAAGGGAATAAACAAGAAATTCCAGACATCATAGATGAGACAGCCTAAATAAAGTTTAAAATACAACACCTTCTATGTTTCAAAAAATCACCTTGTTTATTTCTTTAAGCTTTCTTCCATGAATATTTCTCTTGCCACAAGTCTGGTTATCTGCACTCATTTCAGCCAAATACACCTAAGAAAGAATGAATAGTGATTAGGCAAACAAATACAGCACTTACATGATAACACAAAGTACTCAAAAAATATTTTAAGTCTATACCTCAAATCCCTTGGTTTTTGCTGCACTCCAAAACTGGTCAAAATGTCTAACTCTGTCATTGATAGCATCCAGGATGATGAAAGGGAAAAAGCCATCATCCAGAGTCTTTTTGAAAGTTTTGAACATGCTGGTGCGATAGGTCTCCTCCATCTCAGCTTCATATTCATATTCCATTACCTAAGATCCCCCAAAAGAGATATGGAGTTAGCAAAAGCAAAGAATAATCCAACACCTCTTCCTTAGTCAGCATCTGGATAGAGATGGATTTGTAGTTGTTACTTTATATCTTAGTACTAAAGTTTGTGTTAAAAAAACAGAAAACCCTTTTCTCAAAAAAGCCATACTTCTCCTTTCACTGTTAATGAATTAGGATTTAACCATACCTTCTTTTTCACTTTCTTTCCAGAATCTGGATCTTTTTCTTCTTTTTCCACTTCAGTGATGAAGTAATCATCTAGGCTTAGAACTCTGGGAGCAGGTCCTCCAAATTCTACCTCCTTATCCTAAGAATCAGATAGTCAAGGAAGTTAGAGAACTAATGAAATAAATTAATAAATGTTTACACTAAAGTTCCTTCTTGTGACTAAATAATATTCAATCTTCTGGTGGTTTCAAATCAAACAGAAGCAAAAATATTTGTCTAAGAAGACCAAAACTTATTTGGGACAGCCTCTACCTATGAACAAATAAGAATGGATCAAATGGGAAATTCTGTGTTGATAAATGCTGCCTGGTAAAAAGACAAGCAGCTAATAAAAGCAACTGACTCGCTGAAACGGTTTGGCTCAGTGGATAGAGCATCGGCCTGAGAACTGAAAGGTCCCAGGTTCGATTCCGGTCAAGGGCATGTACGTTGGTTGCGGGCACATCCCCAGTAGGGGGTGTCTAGGAGGCAGCTGGTCGATGTTTCTCTCTCATCGATGTTTCTAGCTCTCTATCCCTCTCCCTTCCTCTCTATAAAAAATCAATAAAAAAATAAAAGCAACTGACTCTTTGGCTTTTCCATACTCACTCGAATAAGTTTTGCAACATGCGTCTTTCCACTGCCTGGCAATCCTCTCATTATAACAACAATCTGAAACACAATTAAAAAAAAAAAAAAAAAAAAAAAAAGAATCACTCAGATTTTTTTATAATAAAATCTTATAATTAACAATGGTCTGTGTCATTCTCCATGACAATTCACATGATATGCCATGAAACAAACCTTAATAAATTTGATAGAAATAATATAAAGTACTATGACTACAATGGAATAACAAAAAACAAGAAGAAAAATAAAAAAGTACTTTGAGATAAATAAAAATGAAGACAGAATACGAAAACTTATGAGATGTAACTAAAGCTGTGCTCATATGAAAATTTATAATATTAAGAAGAAAAATCTCAAATCATAACCTAACCTTTTACATTAAGACACTATAAAACAAACAAACTAAACCTAAAGCAACCAGATGGAATGAAATAATAAACATTAGGGCAGAAGTAAATAAAATGGAGAACAGAAAAACAGTAAAAGCTGGTTCTTTGAAAAGATGAAAAAATTGACACACTTTTAGCTAGAGTGACAAAGAAAAAGAGAAGACTCGAATTATTAGAATCAGAAATGAAAGAGGAGATATGACTGACAATCTTACAGAAATAAAAAAAGGATAATAAGGAATATTATGAACAATTATAGGCCAACAAATTAGATCATAAAATGGACAAATCTCTAGAAAGACAGACTACTATTATAAAAACGGTTCAAGAAATAGATAATTAGGATAGAATAGGATAAGAAAGAGATTGAATTTGATATAAAAAACTACCCACAAAGAGCGCTGGTTGGTGGCTAAGTTGATTGGAGTGTCATCCCGTATAAGTGTTGGGGGTGATTCCTGATCAGGGCACATACCTAGGTTGCAGGTTCAACCACCCATTGGGTGTGTACTGAGGCAACTGATCGATGCTTCTTTCACAATCATATTTGTCTCTCTCTCTCTCCCTTTCTCTTCCTGTCTCTAAAACATATCCTCAGGTGAGGAGTAAAAAACTATCCACAAGGAAAAGCTCAGGCCTAGATGACTACAGTACATTATTGAATTCTAACATTTAAATAAGAATTAATACCAACTCTTCACAAACTCTTCCCAAAAATAGAAGAGGAAGGAACAATTCTCAACTCATTTATAAGGCCAGCATTTCAAATCAAACAGATAACCTGGATACCAAAACCAAATACATCACAAGAAAATCACAGATATCTCTTATGAATATAGATGTAAAAATCCTCAACATATTAGCAAACTGAATCCAGAAACATATAAAAAACATTATATACCAAGTGAATTTATCTCAGGGATGTAAATTAATATCTGAAAAATAATACACGTAATATATATCAATATAATAAAAAACAAAAATACACACAATAGAGTAAAATAAAAAATAATATAATAAAAACAAAAGCCTTAACTGAACAGAAAAAGCATTCAACAAAATCCAACATCCTTTCAAGATAAAAAACATTCAACTAATATAAACGGAAGGGAACCTCCTCAACCTGATAAAGAGCACCTATTGAAAACCCGTAACTAATATCATACTTAATGGTGAAAGACTGAAAGTTTGCTAAGATCAGGAATAAAATAAGGATATCCACTCACACATCTACTAGCCCGAGCAACTAGGCAAGAAAAAGAAATAAAAGGTATCCAGATTAGAAAGAAAGAATTAAAACCAACTCTATCTGCAGATGCCATGATCTTGTGTATATAATATTATATTCTAACAAATCCACTAAAAATCTATTAGAGCTAATAAATGAATTTAGCAATGTTTCAGGATGTAGGATCAATATGCAAAAATCAACTGAATTTCTATACAACTGAACAATCCAAAAATGAAATTAAAACTACTATATCATAACATTAAATGTGAATAAATTAAACAAAACAAATAAAAGGCAGAAATTGTCAGACTGCATAAATAAACATGACCGACCCAACTACATGTTGTCTATAGAAGACATATTTTAGATTCAAAGACACAAATAGATAGAAAATAAAAGGATAGAAATAGATATATCATGCAAACAGCAACCACAGAAAATATAGATGCAAAATATACTAATAATAGATGAAATAATTTTAAATGACTTATATACAGATACATCAAAATATCTCATAAAAATGTCCACTGCCAATTTAAAATGGAATGTAATTATTATGCAATATAAGATAAAATTAAAATGTATACATTTGGAGGTTACTAGGAAAATTTGCCAAGCAATTAAGCTCTAACTTCTGAGATTCTATAGGGTAGGTAATTTTTTAGATTATATGATATATTGGAGATGGTAAGATTCCTTGAATCTCATATTATTAGTATGTCACAGAAAAGTAGAGAAATTCTTTCTATTCAGGATATTAAATTTAAAAGATCTCGTCAACTTTTGATTCGCAAGAAAACTACATAGGACTCACTCGCTCAGGTCTGCTCTCTCGGCCAGGGGGTTTCAAAATATCATCCACATTCTTAGATTCAGGTTTCTTCTCTACCCGTGGAGCTGGAGGTGGCTGGTGGCTTAGTGCAGGAGCTGGCAGGGGCATTCGCTCCTCTGGGTAAGTTCTTCGTTCTCCTAGAATTTTAGCAGTTGAATGAAATTACTACCTGTGTAGTAATTATTTAAAATTTTAACTCTTTGCACTTATCCTAAGGTAATATAATTCATAATGATCTGGGAGCCACTTTAACCTTTATTAGAAAATTTTTAAGTAATGAAAATCAAGAAAATTAAAAGATTTAGATATTATTTCAGGCAAACAGGATGTTTTGAGAAATTCTCAATTCATCCTTATTTGTACTAAATTTAGGAAAAAAGTTAAGCAACAGGACATATTAGAATAATAGATACTTACTGGATGGTTCCAAGTATGACTTAAAGAGTTTGTCTGTAACTTCTGCTTTACAGTTTTAAGGACAAGGACAAAAGCTTTAAAAAGTTTGTTCTTATAAATAGATATAGGTTTCGTCCTAGCCGGTTTGGCTCAGTGGATAAGCGTCAGCCTGCAGACCAAAGGGTCCCAGGTTCGATTCCGGCTAAGGGCACATGCTTGGGTTGCAGGCTCCATCCCCAGTAGGGGGTGTGCAGGAGACGGCCAATCAGTGATTCTCTCTCACCATTGATGGATGTTTCTCTCTCTCTCTCTCATACCCGTTCCTCTCTGAAATCAATAAATATATACATACATACATTAATTTTTCACTGCTATAAATTCCACTTAAACTAGAAGCACATATATAGCAGTGAAAAATTAAAAGCAACCTAAATGTCTAACAATAAGTCTTATATCCACTCAGTAGAATGTAATAGAGCCATTATATAATAGATTTATATGTGGAAAAAATGATCAATAGGAATAAGCACAATAAAGAAATTGTATTTATATTTTGATTATAACTTCATTAATATGTATGTGAAGACAAAACGAGAGGAGAACATACAAAATTATAATAGCTGTGATTTGGTGAGTGGTGGGATTATAAGTGATTTTGTTTCTATTTTCTAAACTTTTATTAATATAAAAAAAGCAATTTGTTTTATTATATTAATTACATTGCTATTTTTTATGATAATGCTGCCATGCCTTAGAAACTTGAGTGCATTTTACTCTGTAAATTTAAATCTATAGCTACAATGGGAAGTATCAGTTGGCATTCTCAACATCTTTATAGTTAACAAGGCACTGCTCTACCTCCAAACATGGGTGGTCCCTCATAGGCTGGTCGGTCAGACTTTCGGTCATAGGATGGTCTATCAAATCCCCCTCTTCTGGATGAAGAATGGTCTTTTTTGTCTCGATATGACTGAGTCCTAGAAGGTGTAACAGGAAGAGGTTTGGTAAGTAAAAAATAATTGGAGATCTCTGTCTCATAATGCAATACCATTACCTGCCCAGAGTTCTCTAAAAGTAGTTACTACACATAGTCAATATTTATGTTTTTATTTTGCTTTTCCATTTAGATCTCCCTTGCATAGACATATCTAAAGAGCTCACAATTGCAAAAATAAATTGTTTGCCTACTAATTAAGTAATGACTACACCTTTATTGCTGATACTATTTCCTTCCTTTTCTGACTTTCTCCTTCACCCATTTCATTTTCTGGAATTTAAGCTAGCAAAACTCAAGCATCTAGTTTCCTGAAAATTGGTCCAGAACTACTCTTTCCTCTCCAAATTACACATAAGAAAGAATATGTCACTTACTAAATTTCCTTTGACTTTTGCTGAACTCAAGTATATGGCAATTACCTGGCAAAGTTATTTTTCATAGCATACCTATCATCTCGAGGTCGGCGTTCTCTGTCAAATCTATCCCGGTCATAGTCAATAACACCACGATCCCGGTCTCGGTCTCTATGTGTCTCTCGATCCCTTTTGAAATCTCGATGATCTGCCATGACATTGCTTTGACGATCAAAGTAAGGCTCCCGGTCTCTGTCTCTATCATAACGATCACGTTGGCCGGCATGCTCTACAAAAAACAATTAGTACAAAAATAAGAGCAATGCCCTTTTTTCTTAAATAAAGGCAAAAAAGTAAAAATCTAACTTTAGAATTATTAATAGTATAAGTTGTTGCCCTAATTTCAACTTATAAATCTTTTAGCTTTATTAAAAAGAGGCCCAAATAATCTTACCAAAGGGAAAAAAAACATATGATAATTAGGTCCTAAAAGTTTTTTTTTAATGTATTTTATTGATTTTTACAGAGAGGAAGAGAGAATGATAGAAAGTTAGCAACATCGATGAGAGAGAATTATCGATCAGCTGCCTCCTGCACATCCCCCCCGGGGGATGTGCCTGCAACCAAGGTACATGCCCTTGACCGGAATCGAACCCGGGACCCTTCAGTCTGCAGGCCGATGCTCTATCCACTGAGTCAAACCGGTTTCGGCTCTAAAAGTTTTTAAAAAAAATATTGATCTCTCTAGGACTCTTACCTGTCTCAAAAGCTGATCTTTCAGGTGGATCTGGGCGCAGAGTTATTCTTTCTCCATAGGGTATCTGTTCAACTTTGTTAGTGGACATATCTGGCAAACAAAATCAGGGATAAAACACAATATGAATGAAGCTTATGAAAGGCAAAATTGAAGCTAAAAATTCCTTCAGAATCCTAAATACAAACTTAACCAATATCACTCACCTCGGCCATGGCCATAGTCAACAGTCTGTTGTACTGGTGGTGGTTTGGACATTGGTGGCATACCCATTGGTGGCATTGGGCCAGGAGGGGGAATGGAAGGGTGAATAGGTGGGGGTGGTAACAATGGAGCAGATGGAATATTTACAGTTTCTGGTTTAAATTCTGAATTTAGTCCTTGTTCCTCATTTGAATCCCAGAGGCCATAGAAAGAATCTTCATCCCAGCGTTCCTGTTCTACAGCTGAAGTGTGTGGCTTTATCCCCGGAGGAGGAGGTAGTGTAGGAGGAGGAGGTGGTAGTGGTGGTGGTATTGGAATAGGTGGCCTGGTCAAAGGAACAGATGATCTTACTGGTGGAGCAGAGGGTCTTATAATCGGACCTGGTGGTTTACCCATAGGAGGTGGTGGTCTATAGGATCCTGGAGGCTGGAAAACAGAGTAAATAGCTTTAGTGAATGAGAGATGAGAATATTACCATATTTTTGCACATCAAATCTGGTTTTCAATACATAAAAATGTAATAAACTATACTCATTCAAAATTCAAATCTTTTGTGCTTTAAAATACACCATTAGGGAGAAAATACAATTGGCGCTTGAGGAACACAGATGTAAACTGTGTGGATCCACTTATGCACACATTTTCCCCCCAATAAATATCTACATGTTTTTTTTTGTTGGTCCTCCCTTCCCTCCTTCCTTCCTTCCTTCCTTCCTTCCTTCCTTCCTTCCTTCCTTCCTTCCTTCCTTCCTTCCTTCCTTCCTTCCTCCCTTCCCTTCCCTCCCTCCCTCCCTCCCTCCCTCCCTCCCTCCCTCCCTCCCTCCCTCCCTCCCTCCCTCCCTCCCTCCTTCCTTCCTTCCTTCCTTCCTTCCTTCCTTCCTTCCTATTTAAGGTATTACAAATAGTAGTACATATGTTCCCTCCCCCTACCCCATTGACCTCCCTCGAGCCTCCTCTTACCACCCCTCCACTCCCCAGAACTTGCCCTCACTTCCCCATCCCCCAGTGTCTTGTGTCTATTGGTTGTGCTTATTTGCATGCATACAAGTCCTTCGGTTGATCTCTTATCCCCGATACCTCCACTACCTTCCCCTGTAGTTTGACAGTCTGTTCGATGCTTCTTTGCCACTATCTATTTTTGTTCAACAGTTTATAATGTTCTTTATATTCCATAAATGAGTGAGATGATGTGGTATTTATTTTTCACTGACTGGCTTATTAGCATAATGGAAAACTATCCTTGTGGGTAGTTTTTTAATCCTCACCGAGGATGTTTTAGAGAGAGGAAGGGAGTGGGGGAGAGAGGGAGTGCAAGTGGTAAGAATTCCTTTTTTTTTAACAGCAGCATAGTATTCCATTGTGTAGATGTACCACAGTTTTCTAATCCACTCATCAGCTGATGGACATTTAGGCTGTTTTCAAATCTTAGCTATTGTAAATTGTGCTGCTATGAACATAGGGGTGCATATATCCTTTCCGATTGGGGTTTCTGTTTTCTTGGGATATAGTCCTAGAAGTGATATTACTGCAGTGGTTCTCAACCTTTCTAATGACGCAACCCTTTAATACAGTTCCTCATGTTGTGTTGACCCCAACCACAAAATTATTTTCGTTGCTACTTCATAACTAATTTTGCTACTGTTATGAATTGTAATGCAAGTATTTCTGTGTTCTGATGGTCTTAGGCAACCCTGCTAGCGGTTGGGGTCACCACAAGTTTGATGAGGATGATAATGAGTCCCATTTTGAATATGCTGAATTTGACAGGAGACATGTCCAGAGAGAAAAACTCTGTAGGCAAATGGATGCATACATAGATCATGAGATACAATTTGAGGAGTCGACATCATGATGGTGGTTTATGCCAACAACTAGGTATGAGTGCTATGTGTTAGACGAGGATGGAAAGGAGCACTGAGAAACGAAGAGTTAATTTGGTGAAATGATTCATGTTTTTCTCTCTTTTATTGTGTTGTTTGTTAAAAGGTAAAACAACAAAATGAGAGCAAAACAACTTTACCACACGAACTGGAGCATGATGTTTGGTCCTTTCCCTAGCTGAAGGACAAGTAGCTCGAAGAGGTGGGGAGACTATAAGACTCACATGAGCAAGGCTCAAGGGGAGCCCTTGCACTGCCCAGATAAAAAACAGGACTATTTGAACAAAAACAACTATTAGAAAAACTCGACAATTTGTGAACATGCGCCATAAAGTTCGTGTGTGCTTGGCGTACTTATCAAAACCTTGGGGAAAAGACCACACTTTTAAGATTTTCAAAAGTCAATTACTAGTAACTTTTTACCTTTCTAAAAATTTACATTAAAAATATATTATTTTTATTTATTTCAGAGAGGAAGGGAGAGAAAGAGGAAAATAGGGAAAGAGAAAGAGAGAGAAAGAGAGAGAGAGAGAGAGAGAGAAGCATCAGTGAGAGAATAATTGATTGGCTGCCTCCTGCATGCCCCTTACTGGGGATGGAGCCTGCAAACCAGGCATAAGCCCTGACAGGGAATTGAACCACGACCTCCTGATTTATAGGTCGATGCTCAACCACTGAGCCACATAGACTGAACAAAATGTATACTTATAGAAAAAATTTATACTTGCTTTATACATCAAAAGACCAAAGGACAAACATACAAAGTAGGAACCACTGCATTTTCTGAGCACATATTTTCCCATACCAGATACATTCCAGGTCTTGAAGGTGGATTCTGCAATCTTGAATCTTGGGATGGTAGATGATCAGGCATCTGTGGCTCAGATCCAAAGTCTTTCATCTTTTGATACTGTTCTTTCTGTTCCCTGTAAACAAATAAAATTGCCATTGTACATGAGACATGTCTACTCCATTCCTAAATGACTACAATTAATATATTAAGAGACCTAAAAATCTTGTTCTAAAATCCTCTACAGAGTTCACAGAGCACCTCCAGGGTAACACCACTCTCTTGCCTTGATGTAGCTAACTGATCAGACATCTACAACTTATAAATAATTATAAATTATTGAAGATCTTCAAGGACAGATGCTACAACCTGCAACTCATTAGTTTATTCTAATATTTCATTTACTTGTCATGTTTTTTTTTCATCCAATCAAAAGCTCTCTTGCCACTTTTTGTTCAATATTCTTTATTTAGTCCAGAGTTTGCAAAATGGTGGCCAATGGACCACTATGACCTGGAAAGATTTTTTTGAATTTGGCATTCACATCAGTTTTCAAAATCTGAATTAGTTGCCCTTATTTACAAAGCAAAGTATCTTATATAGAAATTCAAATGTTAAAGAGATTTGGTAACAATGGGCCTACATTCCCCACGTGCCAACAATTAGCTGAGTAGAGTAGTGGCTGCCCATTTTAGACAAAGACCTTTTGCCACTATCACTCATTTTTGTTACCTGTCAGCTTCTTGTGGGTATTTTAGTTAATGGCCTCTGCTGTGTATGGTGATAACAATGGTCAGTCTACACCTTTGAAAACGACACTTTATATTCCTAAAGAGTAATTATGTAACTCTTCAAGTTTTTTTTTTAAATGTCTGGTCAAATTCTTTTTCCTTACGATGTCCACCTTAAACACATGTAACCTGTCCACACCTTTTACAATATTCTCCCTGCATTTGTAAAATATAGTGATCCAAATGGATACAAAATAAGGGTCAAATATATAAAAAATGTTATTTTATGCCTTGTGTAAATTATGACTTTATACCAACACAACATAGCTTTTTTGTATTCAACTGTGACCACTTTTATCCATCATTTCATATGTTTTGTTTAATTATGTTTTTGTAGAAAGAGCTTTTAAAAAAGAATGAAGAAGAACCACTTTTTATTCAGCATTTCTTTGCAAAGCGATAATGGAAGGAAAAGGAAAATTTTAAAAGAAAAGGAAAGAAACTTTGGCAGATTAGCAACACCAATTAGCTTGGTGTTCTCGAAAAACAAAATAGATTTTAGAGTTGGACAGACTATATTTGAATTCTGGATCTGCCACTTTTTATCCAAGTGGACTTAAAATTCTCTGATCCTCAGTGTCATTTATGAAGTGGGAATACTACTACTTATTCTTTACAGGCCATTGAGATATAAGGATTTGAGATAGGAGGATTGAGGTAATATATGCTAAATTACTAGCACAGTAACTAGCACACAGATTGTTAAATTAAAGGTGTCTATAATTAAAAGTGAGTTGTATAGTAGCTAAATATTCTAGGGTATGCTTTCCATACCATTAATAATCTGGAAAAGTTAAACCTCATAGAAAGCTTTTGTTATAATTTCAATTGATATAAACCACAAATATAGACCAGAATTGAATAATGAAAGAAACATAACATATTGTCATATATAAAAAACTAACCATTAATTTATTTTCTCAAAACACAGCTAATTCTTACAAAACAACTAAAAAAAACTTACAATCTGCCAATGACGCCTAAATTCTTATCTTAGCAGATAGCTGGTTTAAGGATAAAACAATTTACACAAAGCACTTAGAACAGTTCCTGGCACACCATAAGCATACAATAAATGTTAGCTTTTGCTACTACATGGAAAGCTATAGATACCTATACATAGTAAGTTGCCTGTAAGTTAAGAAATCCAAATTCTATTCTCCACCTCACAAAGAAAATACTTAAGTATAAATAAGTAACATCCTGAGTAGAGATAATCAGCTTCTAATTATAATGAAAGATAAAACATCCCCAAAAGTATCAATGATTAGACAAATCTGAGGATGCTTGCAGGTAAACCATTCTTAGCTTCAACAGAGAAAAATAAAGAGTCCTCACAGCATTTTCCAAAGTTAAATCAAAGATTAATGAATATGAAGTCTATCAGATCTAATAAAGAAGAACAAACTGCCTCCTCGGAAAAAACAGGGTGTTACATACGAGCTCTGAAATCCAGAGCACTAGAAAGTTGAAGTTTGACACTTGAAACATGCACAGGCATGGCATGTCAGCAACACATCTATAAAAGCCAAGAATGGCCATCAAATTTTCACATTTCAGAACATAAGTTTATAATTAACACAGTTCCTAAAAACCCATCCTAACCCTAAAACAGCACGGAATGACCAGAGATATAATTAAAATTATGTTATAAGAACTTGAAGTAAAATTAATTCCATTCAAATATATCACATTTTTAAAAAGCAGTCTGAATGTGGCTTTGACTAAAAGAAATGATCGTTAAGTAGTCAACTTACCGAAGCATTTTCAGTTCTTGTGCAGCTTTCAAAATGATTTCGTGCTGCCTCTGACTGAGAACCATTACCCCTCCAAGGCCTTGGTCAGAGTCTAAATTTGCATCCGACCCCATCATTTCAGAATGATGTGAGGAGGGCATGTGTTCCGAAATGGGGGAATGTCTATCCACATCAGATGGGTACCATCTGTCTGACAACCGTTCTCTTTCCCAGTCCATTCTGTCAGGAATATAATCTCGCTTTTCCCGCCACGTATCTCCTCTTTCTGGATATTCTCGGATCCTCAACTCACCCCTATTACGGAAATCTCGATCATACCCATGGTCTCGATTTCTTTCTTCTCTCCATCTATCATCCCGATATCTATCCAAAGGTGGAAGAGGTGGGAGGGGTGGTAAAGGTGGAAGAGATGGAATATCCCGTTCACGGAACTGTGATTCTTGTTCATCCAGTGGTCTCCCATAATCTCTGTCCCACTCATTATCCAAATTTCTATCATACATATCCATGGGTCTTCCAATCCGATCCACATCCCTGTCCAAGTCCCTGTCCATTTCCCTACTGTAGTCCTCATCCATATCCTGATCTCTCTCCCAATCATCCCACCAAGGGCCTCGCCTATCTCCATCATGCGATCGAGATGGTGGTGCTGAGAACCTGTCCTCTCGGTTATATGTGTCTAATGTATCATCTCGATAGTCACGTTCACTCTCTCTCCAGTATCGCTCTCTATCCCAATCATCAAGTCTTTCTCGTTCCATTGGAGCATTTCTACCATCTAGTGGGAACTCTTCATGTCCTCTCTCTTCTCCATGGTTCCATGGAGCCCTAGGTGGCTCATCTCGGTGATATGAATACATTTTTTCCCCACCATCTCCTAGTTCTGGTCTAAATGGACCTCTGTCACGACCAAAATCTGGTCTTCCCAGTCCCCTTTCCCGACTGCCAGGCCCTCGAGGTGGTGGCCCCCTCTCCCTGCTCCCAGCACTTCGAGGTGGTACTCTCTCCCTGCTCCCAGCTCTTCGAGGGGGTCCTCTCTCCTGACTTCCAGCCCTCCGAGGTGGGCCCCTTTCTCGGCTGCCAGCTCTACCCTTGTCTTGGCTACCTTGCAGACCACCTGGCACTTTCTCCCAGCTGCTTCCTGGTCTCATCAACCCTCTCTCCCGACTGCCTTCTCCTCTGTTCATCTTCTCTCGACTGTCTTCTCTTTTACCCATCACCTTATCATGAAAGTCTTCTTGCTTGACCAACCCTGGGTCACAGCTAATTACCTGGCCTCGACCTCTATTTACTAGTTCTTTATCCTGCATGTCTTCCATTCTGCTTTGCCCAGGACCTCTGTAAGATGAGCTGCTGCCTTGATTGCTTTCTAACCTATTATCTCTGTTATCTGGCCGAGGCAGCCCTTTATCTTGGTTATTTTCTGAATGGGGCAGACCAATACCTAAAGGTTTAAAATCATTATCTGTGTTTAATGATGATGATGTTGCTACTATTGCTCCTCCCTCCATCCCCCCTGTTTCTGAGGGAAAAGTAGATTGAGTAGGTACAGGTTTATTTGCAAGGGATACAGGCTGAGTAATAGCTTGGGTTTTGTCCATTTGAGTCTCCATACTCTGAGAATTCTGGTCCCATTTAGAAGGCTCTATGGGCACTTCCGAGACTTCGCTTTTAGGTGGCTCTTGTTGAGAGTCGCTTAGATTCTCATTTGCCTGAGCCGCCTTGGCATACTTTACATCTGCACCAATGGATAATGCAGCTGATTGCATGTTTAAATTCTTCTGCTGGTTACTACTGGTGTCTGCTAATGGTTCTTTGTTTCCTGAAAGAGGTTCTGCTTGTGACTTAGGTTGCTGCTGATGTTGCTGTCCCAAAGCTGGTTTGGGGCCTTTCCATTGTGGTCCACTTTGTCGAGGACTTAGGGATGTATTGGGGGTGATATAAAACTGAGATGCTGGCCCCCGGGGAATCATTCCCCATTTGCTTTTAATGCCCTCTGCTGGGTGACCTTCATATCTGGGTCTTGGCTCATCGGGGCGATTTCCTTCAAAACGAGGCCCTTTGGGTCTCGGTCCTTCACACCTTGACCCTAAATCCTCAAATCTTCGAGGACCATCAAATCTACAAGTAAAACAAAAGATATTACTCAAGACAGTAAAGCAGAAAAAAAATTCTCCATGTAAGAATATTTAAGGCAATCTTGCCTTATAATTTGTTTACAACAATGACTCTTTCAGTCATTAAACAAATCCTGAGATATATATACATGTATATATATATCTTAGAACCAGCATGCTGAAGCGGCAGTACTCTGAAGGCCTTAGGACAGGCTTTGGAAATCATGTCAGTTTTATCTAATTCACTTCGACACATCTCCTGCAGCAAGTCACTGATGTACTGAACCGTTAAAAAAAGAAAAAAACAAAAAACAAAAGAAAAACGTCACACAATTATAAACGCTGTGCCTTAGTAGACAGAAAAGTCCACTAATTTTAATGGAAAAAAAAAATTCCAAGCTATCTTCAAGAGTACTTTTAGAATTAAAATATCACTAAACACTATGAAACAACCAACAAGGTAATATAGGATATTGATAAATATTGTTGGAGCTAGCATTATGATTTTAACTGATTGACAAAAGTTTAAAAAAACCAGCAGCCAGCCATATTTTCAGAGTGTGTCCTGACATTTTAAAGTCTGGACAGAATGTTTTTGCTATGGACCCACTCAATGATTCAGTAAATATTTAGTGCACATTTTTTAATGCACATCCCCTATCAGGTACTACACTACATTCAAGGGCTATATGAATAAGATGTTATCTATGTCCCCAAAGGGTTTGCAATCAAGGAGAAACAGAATATAAATGTAAATATGTGCTTAAAAGTGCAATAACTAAAGTCTGCCTGAATATAATAATGGAGGCAGAGGAAAGAATCGTCAATTCTACCAGGGTAGTGGTGGGGTGCTATTCAATAAATGCTTACATCAAGTCTTGAAAGACAAATTCTCTCAGATAAGGCAAACAGAGTATGTTGGAGATGAGAGGAGTGAGAGGCAAAGCCATCTCAGGCTAAGGAAGTATTCTGAGGAAAAGCAGAGAAACACATACCAGCAGAGAATGTACGGAATTGCAAAAGTGCAGCATGGCTGAAGCAAAGAGGAGCCAGAGTCAGGAAGTGCGAGGGAAGGAGTAGGAAAGCAGTGTATTAAGAGATAAGGTAAAATGGCAGGCAAGCGTCAATGTCCAGAAGATTTTGACTACCTTTTATGGCAAACACTACTGGTGTTCCTCCAGTATTCATTCCCCTTTTTCTACAATAATTGAGCTTCTCCACTTGTAACTGGACACAAGACCAGCCAAACTAAAGAGTCACTTTTCCAAACTCTCTTGCAGCTAGAACTTGTAGCCATGTTCTGGGCAATGGGCTGAGAATGAAAATGATTTACACATCCTTCTGGGTTATATTCTTAAAGGGCACGGTTTCCTCCTTCATCATTTCCCTTTTCATGCTAGTTCTGACACAGTAGTGAAATTATCTTGGCCCATGTAGTTGAGGACAACATAGTAAGGAATGTTGAAATAAAAAACCAGAAGGAATCTGGATTTCTGATTCTGTAGAGCCATCATATAAGTCCGGAGAGGAAAAAAACTTCTAACTTGTTAAAGCCATGTGACTTTGGATTTCTGTTACAACAGATGAATTAATTTGGCTAGGTAAGAATTGGGAATTGCCTAATAAGCACTTAGAGCCACTAAATATGGTCTGATTTTTAAAAAAAAAAGATTGCCCTAGCCGAAACCGGTTTGGCTCAGTGGTAGAGCATCAGTCTGTGGACTGAAAGGTCCCAGGTTCGATTCCGGTCAGGGGCATGTACATGGGTTGCGGGCACATCCCCAGTAGGGGGTGTGCAAGAGGCAGCTGGTCGATGTTTTTCTCTCATTGATGTTTCTAGCTCTTTATCTCTCTCCCTTCCTCTCTGTAAAATAAATAAATATATATATATATATATATATATATATATATATATATATTAAAACAAAAAAAAAGATTGCTCTAGCAGAAAAGTTGCAGATGAATAGGTGGGAAGAGCCTATTGTAGAAAGTGAAGGTAAAGTCTCCTGTTTTAAGGCGGTGACTGACATGAGGATGAAGAGGAGAAGATACAAGTGAGAGATGTGAAGGAAGCTACAACATATAAGATTGAAAAAAAATTTTTTCTGTAAGATTTTATTTGAGTCAAAATTGATGACAATTGTCAGGAAGCAAGATCTCAAATGCTCCCTAAAACACAACTTTCTTTTTTTTAAAAACATATTTTTTATATATATCTTATTGATTTTTTACAGAGAGGAAGAGAGAGGAATAGAGAGTTAGAAACGTCAATGAGAGAGAATCATCGGTCAGCTGTCTCTTGCACACCCCCTACTGGGGATGTGCCTGCAACCAAGGTACCTGCTCTTGACCAGAATCTAACTTGGGACCTTTCAGTCTGCAGGCCGAGGCTCTATCCACTGAGCCAAATCGGTTTTGGCCAGACAGAACTTTCTAACAGGTGGGATTTAAATGATAATGGAAAGGGAAGAATTTAGAATGATTCCAAAGTTTCTGGCTTAGGTGCCTGAGTAGACAGCTATGCCTTTTATGGGAAATAGGTTGTTCTTTCATTTATTTGGAAAATCAATGAAGAGTACTAAATTAAGTTGCAGCAAAATATTTATTTCCTATCCCTGTGACATTGGTTTTGCTGGTCTTAGTACCTTAGTTTCAAAGGGAGAAATGCTCCCATCAATACAAGGACACAACAATGAGTCTACTAAACTCAAGTTGAGACTGATACCTGGCCATTTTGGGTTCTGAGTCAATAGGCAAAGAAAAGAGTTACTAAACTGGCTGAGGGGGTGGGGGGAGGGGCAGGGAAGAACTGGTAGAAGGGAAGGATTGATCCTGACTTTCATGGCAAAATTGGATTACTACTATACAATGAGGATAAGGAGGAATATGTCTGGAATACAGATCCTCTAGGACACCTTAGTACTTCCATGTCCTGTGATTAAAGTCAGTGGAAAACTACAGTAACACAAGTTAGGCAGACTGCAAATAGCCCAGACCTTCAAAGAATGAATATTTATTTGGGTCACCCACTAGGCAAGAAACCAGGACCAGCTGAGGTATTTGCTGAGAGCAAAGGGAATATGGAAAGGGTAGTGAAAAAAGGTAGTTATAAAAACTATGATCACATGACCAATTGTAGAAATAAGGGCTGTGATAGATATGAATATTCCTTAATTTGATATTATATGCTTAAATATATACATAAATATTAGTCAAAATGTTTGGTTAATGTTTCTTCTTTATCATCAAAAATAAGATACAGTAATAATAGTTACTTTTCTATTTGTTACAGAATATCAAAGAGGGAGTATGAATCAGAAGAATGAAGATATCCCAAAAACAAACAAAAAAAGGTGAGGTAACTTTATATCCTTTTCTGGGAAAATGGTTAGAATGTTTTTGGTTTTCCGGGAATATTTAATGCTAGGTGCAAAAATCTCCTAATCAGAAACATAAAAAAGGGAACTCCGGGAAACATACGTCAGCCTAGCCAAGTTGACACTTTATAGTCATAACAATTTAAAAGTATATAAACCCACTAAAAACAGAAAAGGGGCCACCAACAGATGAGAATTTTGTTTTAAAATTCTGAAAGAAAGCACACACATGAGTGGTAACATATGGAGCAGGAAAAAGCTACAGCTTAGAGTGCTGGTAACAGAAGGTGGGGCTGGCTTGCCTATAAAGCCTCAGAGAGGTCAGGATTCTCAGTTACCAGAGATGCTGGGGAGGGCAAAGTACGACTTTTGCTTGACATTCCCTAAAAACATATAAATTAAATAAAATCTACTTTCAGATCCATCAACCAGCCTTTTCCTAGGCTGAAAATCTGTAAATTCTTGAATTGGAGGGTCCTATAGCATTAGCATTTTGTCCAATCACCTAAAACAAAGCCTAACAGTTCGTAAGCTCCCCTGCCCGAGAGCTCCCAATCAGCTTATCAGTGTCTCCCATTCTCAAATAGAAATGAACAACCAAGGATCACTAGATATTTGAGGAATGTCTCCAAAATGAAAGAGACCAAAGATAAACAGTACACAAATCTGGAGAAAACAGAGATAATGCAAAAAAAATAAATAAATAAAATAAAACAAAACAAACAACAAAACACACCCACAAAACAAAACAGAAGAGAACAAATAAAAAAATCCCACTCCTAAATTGGCATCTTCAGAGAGTATCTACAAACCAAGAAAAAATAGCTATATGTAAAAGGGATCAGAACCAGAAGAACTTCAGAAAATGTTTTATTTCTCAAAATAAAAAAGTGCAATAAAATGATTAAAAGTATCTCAGAAAATGCAACAAAATGAGAGAGAAAAATAAACAAATATTATCAATCCAGCAGGATCCAAAATTCTACTAGGGAGTTCCAAAAACAGAAAACAAGACAAAAAATTGTAGAAGAAATAGCACAAAAAAATTTCCCGGAGTTAAAGAGATTCTAATCTCCATACAGTAAGAGCCTAGTTCACTCAGTATCCAGTATAACTAACAAAACAAAGCAATAACAACAAATCACTAAAATTTTAGATACCAAGAATAAATCCTGGCCGGTGTGGCTCAGTTGGTTGGAGCACTGTCCCATACAATGAAAGGTCGTGGGTTTGATTTCTGGTCAGGGCACATATCCAGGTTGTGAGTTTGATCACCAGTTGGGGTGCATGAGGGAGGCAACCAATTGATGTTTCTCTTTCTCCCTTTCCATTCCCCTCTCTCTAAAGTCAATAAAAATATATCCTCGGGTGAGAGTTTAAAAAATAAAATTAGAGAACGAGAAATAAAATAAAGTTTCTGGCAGTAAGGAAAAGTCATCTAAAAAGAAAAAGAATTGGAGTAGCAGCACAACAGCTGTACTAAGTGACAGAAAGAAATAGAACAATTCCTTAAACCATTTGTTTGAGGAATAAGTATGTTCAACTTCAAATTCCATATCCAAAGTATTATCACATGTGAGGTTAAATAAAGACATTTGCAGACATGCAAGGACTCAGAAAATTCACC